CCATTTACCCGATATGCTATTCCATACATAACCCTATACTGTATACTTTCTTTATGAATAAAAAATTTACAATTTTTAATTATAAACCTGTGTTTTCTATCAAAATTACTTCTTGCGTGAATTTTGGGACACCCTTTATTATTTGTCCTCAAATGCCCTTGAGCTTGTTGAGAACATAAATATAGGAGGGGGGATTAAAACAGAATAATTGCTATAAAGATACTATTTATTTATTTTTTAAATAAATTTTATTGATTTTTTACAGAGAGGAAGGGAGAGGGATAGAGAGTTAGAAACATCGATGAGAGAGAAACATTGATCAGCTGCCTCCTGCACACTCCCCACTGGGGATGTGCCCGCAACCAAGGTACATGCCCTTGACCAGAATCGAACCAGGGACCCTTCAGTCCGCAGGCCGACGCTCTATCCACTGAGCCAAACCAGTCAGGCAAGATACTATTTAAAGGATAATGTGAAAAATTAAAAGAAGAAGGCAAGGAACGCTTCAGAGAGAAGGCAGCATTTAAGAGTTTCCCATACAAAGAGAGAAAAGCATTCCGGGCACAGGCAGAGGAATTCGAGTTGTCTGTAACTTTATAACCCTGAATATTCACAAGGAACAACCAGATCTTACTTAACATCAAGTGTAGTCTAAGAGTAGTACTCACACAGGGACAGGAAAACGGATTTTTATGGTGTAACCACTAGTGTCAGGTTCTGTGCTGAGCACTAGTGTATGAGAACAACTGAAATTCATAACCAAGGCCACCATCGGTCCCTGCTCATCCAGTTCTTACCTTAAGGTAGAGTCTGTTGGCCTTGATTCATAACCCAGGTAAGACTTAACTGCTTAAGCATCCAAATTAAATACTATGGCAGCTCAGACATAGCTCATTCAAAGGATGAATATTTGGGAGGAATCCAAGTATTATTCTACACTGGTCAAGGGCAACCTCCCCTGGCTAAGAGCCAATAGGGTTTCCTCAAAGATTCACATTTGTGTATTTAACACATAAAGAACTATCTACTTAAAAACTGCTTATTGATTACTCTTTTTTCTCTACCAGGTATGAAGACGATAAAAAGGAATGGGCTGGGATGTTGAAGGAAATACGTTATGCTTCAGGAGCAAGTTGCCTCGCAACACGTTTAAATCTCTTCAAAGTGTCTAAACTGTAAATAAGGAGGTGAAAAAATGTAATCGATTGGGAGGTGGTTTGTTTGGATAACAGGGCTTTAATTTATTCTGGGGGTTTTTTTAAGCCTATACAGAGATCCATGTAGAAATTATCCACTAAGTTACTGTGCAAGAGGTTAGCAGTGGGTATCAAAACCTCAAAGTCTGAATCTTCAATGTAATGACCATATCTTAAAACCATTTTCTAATGAAAAATTCAATATTAACTTGAACAGATTATTTCTTTTGAGATTTCTCACTCAATCAACGACTATAAAGCAGGTTCCTAAATTTGAGTTGCTAATCGTTTCATTTGCATTTTTAGGGTAACTTTACATGTTTCCCATTACAAATGAAACTGGAGAATGAGATATGTACATCTACATTTTTAAATGTTTAAAAACATCAAAAACATTCCCTCCTAGTACTTCAAGATATGACAAGAACCTTGTGCATTATATTAAAGATTACATGCCAAGAGACTTGCGAAATGCTATTTAAAGAGTATAATAAATGGGTCTCATTTGAAGGGGAAAAGTCTCTAAGTAGTCAAATTCAAGTGATCTTTTTCTCCATTCTTTTGTGACACTGGTATAATACTGTTTGTTTAAATTAAAAAAAAATTTTTCAATTTAAAACCAGCCAATCACAGTTTTTAAGCCATTAACAAAAGTATCTGTGGTGAGAGGGAGGGGAAGTGTCCTTAAACTGCTGAGGCAGAAGGTGGGGCCAGTGGGTGGTATGGAGGAGGGTGTGTATTCATTGGTTTATCTATGCTTTCCAGGAAAGAGCTATTGCAAATTTCTGAAGGGAAGATGACTATATTATTCTATTTTTCTGGGATATAAGACCCTATATTCAAGCTGTTTGTTCTTAGTGTAGTAGTATACAGGGTGGAGCAACAGGTTTACAGTTGTTCATATGAAAAATAATTCAATAATTAATAAATAATGCAAGAATAAACTCTGTGTTTCACATACAACTGTAAACTGACTTTTGCCCCACCCTGTACATAGTAAGTTGACTGTCCAGAACCATCACATTCAATGCTCTCCAATCATCAACTAATCATTGCTATGGGCCTCACGTGCTTTCATAGACATGTTTAACATCTGTCCTGACATGTTATTTTCTGAGAAACCTGATTTAGGACTGATTTGGAGTATCCTCTGATTAGGAAGAATGCTGAACTCTGCAGACATGAGATTAAGTTGTAAAAATAAAGCTTTGGGATAAGGAAAATGTTCAGGAATTAGATAGTGGTGATGATGGTTGCACAATCATGTGAATGTACTAAAAACTACTGAACTGTACACTTTAAAAGAGTGGATTTTATGATATGTGAATTATATCTTAATGAAAAAAATGCTTTATTTAGACAGTTTAGACAGAAAAATCACCAAACAAAAATATAAATAGCCCTAACCGGTTTGGCTCAGTGGATAGAGCGTCAGCCTGCAGACTAAAGGGTCCTAGGTTCGATTCTGGTCAAGGGCATGTACCTTGGTTGCAGGCACATCCCCAGTAGGGAGTGTGCAGGAGGCAGCTGATCAATGTTTCTAACTCGCTATCCCTCTCCCTTCCTCTCTGTAAAAAATCAATAAAATATACTCAAGGGCATGTGTGTGTGTTTGGATAATAACAATAATATAGCTAATAGGGCCCTAGCTGATTTGGCTCAGTGGATATAGCATCAGCCTGCAGATGGAAGGGTCCCAGGTTCAATTCCGGTCAAGGGCACATGTCTGGGTTGCAGGCTTGATCCAACGTGCAGGAGGCAGCCAATCAATGATTACCTCTCATTGTTGATGTTTCTACCTCTCTCTTCCTCTCTGAAATCAATAAAAATATATTATATATATATATATATGTACAAATATATTTATATATTCTTCGAATCAGGTAACTTAGAGAAAGGAGAGGAAGAGATATGGTATATGAGAAGTCAGATTTTGTGTGACAATAAGTGAAAGGTATATCCGGGTCATTTAATCAGGGTTTTGTTTGTTTGTTTTGTTTTTTTTAATATATACTGTCTGGGTTTTCATTTATATCTGGTTTATAACCCTCGTCAGTTTAATTTCTAACTCTCACCAGTCTAATCATTTTATTCTAAAAGTTACACAGTAAAATATTTTAACCTGTTCAAGGGGTTTAGTCCTGGCAATCATTTGCTTTAGAAATAGGACACATTCATAAAATGGATAATAAACACTCAGCATTAAGTGTATCAGTTAATACAAATGAATATCATGAGGAAATGCAGAATTAGGAAACTAAGTAAGGAGAAACATCTTTCATTTGCTTACTGTTCTGATTCTGTTTTGCACAAGAGGTTCTGTGAAGTTCACATTTTGTAAAATTAAGAACTGGAGCTCGTCATGCAAAATAATTGGATATTTTAAACCTAAACTAAATATCAGTGGAGCAAATTACATGCAGGGCACATATTTTAAGATTCAAGGCACTCTAGCCACCAACTTTATTTTGAGACAGAATGAATTTAGAGGGTCATGGAGTCAGACGATAACAAATTTCAGATAGTCAATTACCCACATCCCCCCCCCCCACCACCATGGCCTAAGGGTCCTTACAATATGGCTTTCCACTGAGCACAAATATACCACTCTTGGAAGAAGGGCTAGGGATTATATCACATAGTAGGCCCTTAGTAACTATTTAATTGAATAAATGTGTTGTAAGACAGAGAGGAAATCATTATTCCTTCCTCAGCATCTGTTGGATCAGACCAAGTCAAGATTGGTTCACTTCCCCCTCAGCTATCTCCCCATTTCTTTGCTTCCATTTATAACAGTGATGGCAAACCTTTTGAGCTCGGCGTGTCAGCATTTTGAAAAACCCTAACTTAACTCTGGTGCTGTGTCACATATAGAAATTTTTTTATATTTGCAACCATAGTAAAACAAAGACTTATATTTTTGATATTTATTTTATATATTTAAATGCCATTTAACAAAGAAAAATCAACCAAAAAAATGAGTTCGCGTGTCACCTCTGACACGGGTGTCATAGGTTCGCCGTCACTGATTTATAAGAAAGTCTTGTCTCCTCCCACTTTCTCTTAAACCAGTCAGACTTTCAAACTCATCACTTCACCAAAACTACTCTTTTCACAGTTACCAGTGATTTTTTAAAATATATATTTTTTTATTTTTAGAGAGAGGAAGGGACAGGGAGAGAGAGAAACAGCAATGTGAGAACAAAACATCAATTGGCTGCCTCCAGGGATTGAGCCCACAACCAGGGCATATAACCTGACCAGAAATCGAAGGGGCAACCTTTTGGTGTATGGGATGACACCCAACCGAGCCACACAGGCCAGGGCACCAGTGATTTTCACATTACTAAATTTAATGGAAATTTCCCAGTTTCCATCTTACCTACTTGGCTTCCTCCTACCCCACTGGCCAATCCTGTCCAGTCTCCTTTGCTTCTTCTTGGTCCTCTTCCTCTTCACCCCTTCATGTCCAAGCACCCGGAGCTCAGTCCTCAGACCTTGCCCTCAGTCACACTTTCCTCTAATCACTTTTAGTGATTTCTTCTAGTCTTATCACATTAAATACTGCTTGAAACTTCCAAATTTAAATCTGAAACCGGCACCTCTCCCCTGACCTCCAAACTCATTTATTCAAGTGCCTATTTGATATCTCCACTTAGATATTTAAATGGCCTCACAAACTCAACATGTCTAAAACAAACTCGTGATCCTCACCCCCACCACCACTTCCCACCTTCTGCTTCCCCTGGACTTCCCCATATCAATCAATGGCATTGACATCTTTTCAATTGCTCAGGACAAAAACAGAATTGTCCTTAACTCCTCTCTTTTTTTCATACTCTGTACCCAATCTTTGAGCAAATTCTGTTGCCTCTGCCTTCAAATACATTAAAAAATCTGACCACTTCTCATTACCTCCAAGCCTCCATCCACCTCTTGTCTGGATTACTGCAATGATCTTCTAATGGGTTTTTGCCCCACTGCAGTCTTTTCTCATATCAACAGAGTAGTCAAAGTGATCCAGTTAGAATATGAGTACTTCATTTCTTTGCTAGAAACTCTCCAACGGCCTCTCATCTCACTCAGAATAGCCATGAGATCATATATATTTGACACTGTTATCTACCTTTCCTCTTATACTGCCAACCCATTTGTTCTGCTCTAGCCACAGTCGATTCCTTGTTATTTTCAAACATAGCAGGCATATTCCTACCTCAGGATCTTTGCACCTACTCATCTCTTTGCCTAAAGTACTCTACCCTGAGTCAGCCTCACCTCCTTAAGTCTTTACTCAAATGATAACCTCGTCTTTCCCAGTTCACCCTATTGAAAATCACACCCACCCATAATGTTCCTATGAATTCTTCTCCATATCACTTAATATCATCTAAGGTGTGTGTGTGTGTGTATA